TTTTTTTATTCCATTCGCTTATTTATATATTTATTTATTTATATAACGAGTAAGCACCTCTTCGTTGAAAACGGAGAAAAACCATGCAATATCTCTTCTTAACCGAGCAATATTTATATGTACAACGATACAGAAGGTGCATTAAGATCGGTACATTAAGGTACGCACATATAATTAGTTCAAATTAAAAGCGAAACGAAAATTGATTTTGTCGACTTCATCAGCGTACACGAACGTCTAAGCCTGGACAGAAAATTCTGCCATTATACGCAACTCTACAGTCTATCCATAATTACTAGCACAAACCGCGGAACACCCCACTTACCGAGTATCACTGAAAAGCGCGTGAAATCGATAAGAGGGTTAAAAACGGGGACAGCGTGATTTCAAGAGAGACGGTGGAATCGCGTACAAAGTAATGTCTCCCTAACTGACGCTCAGATTGCGCCGAAAAATGGACAATTTGGGTTCAATTCCATTATATCATTAGACGCGGGTGACAGCTATTCTGCCCTGGAAGCTGTCCGGATTGCTCCTGGGAGCAGGAATCTGGAGCAAACGACTTCAAGAAAAGGGATTCTTGAGCTTCTAGACTGTCTATCTGTTTCCGTGGACAAAAATTGGCGTGGTTTTCTTGCTCTCGATGGAGCCTGGCGTAGTTCAAGGTTGGCTTCGATCATAAGCAAGGTTAGCATAGCTAAAAATTCAGCTCTGAAAACTATACTTTGTCCTTCGTAGAAACGTCTTGATCACTAATTTTCCGCTTTTCAGGATATTTCATACTATTTCGAACATCATGTTTACTTTTTAACCGTTTGCGTACCAGATGGTTCTGAAAAAACAGGATCGAAAAGCGCCGAAGATCGCGATCGCGCTCCTTCGATTATGTGTCGACGAAAGAGCCGTAAAACATAAAATAAAACGTTACGAATGAAAATATATATACTATTAACCCCTTGCCGTACCATTTTCTTCATAGTTTCGATAATTAGAAGCTTTTCCGCTGTGATAATTCCTAAGAAGAATAGAGAAAATTAATATTCATTGTGTGTTTACGTTTTTCCGAAATGTTTGAATATTGATGACGAGAAATCAGAAATTTATTCAGACTGAAAAGAACGGAATAGCATTCATACTTAACAAGTTATTACTAGAAATCTCCATCACGTGTCGGACTCGTCAAAGTATGGCAAGGGGTTAATTTAGAATAGGTAACAACAAAATGCAAATTGGCTTACTGACAGCGATGCGACGCGCGACGTATACATGCGTCTGAAAGACAGCGCGTTTCGACAAATTTCGGGTGGGCCGTAGGTCGTCTGTTTCGGCCAAATGTCCTGGCTTTTCTCGACACAAAATCTGAAGAGCGCGAAAGTGGCTCGTGGTACGCAAACGGTTGAGCAAAGCTAGAATATAGAATTAGAATAGTATAAAGAAACTAGAATAGTATATTGCATATACAGTAAATTCTGCCTAATTGACACACACGCTCAGATTATACATAAAAATGAACAATTTGGAGAGAGGAGATACGATTATTCGAGCCTCGCAGCCCGTTTTTCTTTTATAATTGTCGACAATTCGTCACTATAAAAAAGACGCTCTTACTGACGCTCCAATTACAGTAATGTCTCTCTTACTGACGCTCAGATTGTCCACTAAAATGGATAATTTGGGAAGAGGAGACACGATTATTCGAGCCTTGCGGCTCGTTTCTATAATTGAGCCGTTTATTTTGAAAGTGGCATAAGTCACTTTACCGTAATGAGAAGTGGTGATTTTTTAATGTTTATACGAAATTATTTATACCGAGAAAAATATCAGTATCCTGAGATAACAAATACAAGTAAATCTTCTCGAAAGTTAGCATCCATATTTTTAAACGTGTTAAAACGCAAACCCTTAAATATATCGACTTAAAAACAAGGTGACTTATGCCACTTTCAAAATAAACGGCTCAATTATTGACAATCGATAAGCACAAAAAACGAGCCACAAGGCTCGAACAATCGTATCTCCTCTCCCCAATTTGTCCATTTTTCTGGACAATCTAAGCGTCAATTAGAGAGACATTACCGTGTTCGGTGGAATACGCCTCGTCTACCGACGTGATATGGCAAGACAGAGGAAATCGCATACGAAGCACGAAAGCGACGCGTGGGTGGCACCGATCGGCAACGAGGAACCGAACTCGCCAAGGAAACGCGTCGCCGCGCCGCGGCACGACGCGACGCGGCGGGTTGACTCATTGCGGCGGGCTGAGCTCGCGAGAAAGAGCGCGCACACCCGCCGATGCCGGCCTGCATTTCCATGCGCAAGGTGCAGCATGCGCGTACTGCAATCAGAGTGCACGTACGTTCGCGCCGCGTAAGAGACAGAACTGTCCGTTGACGTCATCCGGACAATTTATTCGACTCGCAGGAGTTCGACGTGCCCGCGGAACGTAATACCAGCCGCGGCGCGAAATACTATTCCGTTTTATTTACACCGGCGACGACGGAATGGAAAATCCGACGACGGGGGTTAATAAGCAACGGAGAACGCGACGAGCTGCCGGCGAACGTAATTTATCGCCGCGAGATAAGAAACTCTTCAAAGTGTTTTCAAAGAGAGGACGACACACACCGTCGCGTCGCGTCGGAACGATCGCGAAACGATCTTCGACCGATATTTTTCATTTATAGTTACCGGTATCGCGAAGGCATTCGCGCGGTGGGAAGTTGCCAGAGCTACGAGGAGACTGCGGAGCTTTGTGCAAAATGATTATTCGACTGCGTTCGTCGTAAGAGACGCGGCAATTTAGTCCTTTAGTTTATTAACGCTGACACTAGATTCACGGAACCCGTTGATAACGAGTCACGAAATTTTTAATTTACGATTATTCGTATCGTAAAGATAGATTTACGAGTTGTTTATTTAACCCTTTGCACTCGAAGTTTTTTTTGAGTCATATTACCAGCAACTCGAAGCCATTTTAGTGAAAAGATCATATTCACATGTAAGTTCATAATATAAGCATTAAAAGAAAAGTCATCGTTGTATGTTATTATTTTTTTAATTGTTTATGGATACAAACGTCATTTGTCACCAACAGCGAAACATCCTATAACTAATTTTTACGATTTGTTTTTGTTCTTATGTTAAAAACTGAAAATTATTTGCATTGTCTCCGTAGCGGAGCCCTCGAGTTTGAAGACAAATTTTAAATGGCTCCGCTCCGGAGCCCT